AAAACACAGGTTCCCACAGAACCAGCAGCTCAGTTCTCGGCCCTGAATTAGGTCAGCTCATCAGGGTGCTCCCAGGAGGGACCCAGGCCCCCTGTTCTGGGCCCCCTGGGTGGGGGGGCGCCGCAGAGTATTACTGTGGGAAAAGATATTTAGGGAACATTTATTTCTGCCGGGATATTCTTGGTGTGTTTTATGAGGCACCCAGAGATGGCACGGATCAGCTGTGTCTTGTCCTCCGGGAGCCTCTGGGTGACAGCAGGACTCACAGACAGAGCAGTAGCCGCGGAGGCAGAGCCAGGGGCTGGAGAGACAGATAGGCGGGCCCTCCACTAAGTATCAGGTCCCGTGCTCAGGCCTGCCAGAGACAGACATCACCTTCTTCCTACATCTCCCCGGGGTCCCTCTTGGCAGCTTCTGGGCACCTGGTGGCCCGTGTGTCCTGCCCCAAAGCCCACTGATCCAGGCAGATGCCCCCACCACCACCTGTCTCCATTGAGGAACGTGGCAACAGGTCCTGTGATTACAGGGCACAGTGTGCAATTCCCTTCACAAGATCCACAAGCAGCAAGGATCTTGCTGTAAAACAAGATATAAGCATGTCCCAAGAGTCCTAGAATGTTTGAATAATTCTCAGGCTACAAAATTTGTAATCATCTCACTGTAAAGAAGGTCACTGTCACTCTCTCTGTCCTCCTGTTGTTCATCGATTTGCTCGAGTGGGCCCAGAAACACTGTGAGACTTGAGACTTGTTACTGTGTTTGGCATATCGAATACATCATGGGTAGCTTGCCAGGCTTTGCGTGTGGGTGAGATATTCTCGGTAGCTTGCCGGGCTCTCCAAGAGGGGTGGAGGAATTGAAGGAGGAGGAATCAAACTCGGGTGAACCAGGTCGGCCGCATTCAAGGCAAATGCCCTACCCATTGTGCTATCGCTCCAACCCTCCGTAAAGAAGGTAATTAGAAAAAAAAGAAATATAGAACTGGACAGCTTAAAAATTAACCACTTAAAAATACACATAATATGGGGCCAGAGATACTACAGTAGGCAGAGGGTGGTGTTGGGGGTGGCATTTGCCTTGCACGTGGCCAACCCAGGTTTGATCCTCAACATCCCATATGGTCCCCTGAGTATTGCCAGGAGTAATTCCTGAGGGTAGAGTCAGGAGCAAGCCCCGAGCATTGCCAGCTGTGACCTGAAAAAGCAAAAAAAGAAAGAAAAAGTATAATAATGGAGAGCTAGAGAATATAGCGGAGTATAGCCGCTAAGGCATTGCCTTGAATTCAGCTGACCCAGGTTTAATCCCCAGCAACTCACATGGTTCCAGGAGCACCACCAGGAATGATCCCTGAGCACAGAGCCAGGAGTAATCCCTGATCACTGCTAGGTATGACCCAAAAGTTAGAGAGAGAGAGAGAGAGAGAGAGAGAGAGAGAGAGAGAGAGAGAGAGAGAGAGAGAGACGGGGGACCACAGCCTGATGGTGGAAATGGCCCGTGTAATGCAGAGCTGCTAGCATACTTATAGAACATCTGAAGGGGTCAGAGGTGTAGGACTGCATATCCATGTGATTTACAGAGGTAAAACATTCTGGCAGAGGCAATTTCTGAAGGAGATTAACTCAAGGAGATGCTCTGTCTCCCAGGGACATCTATATTGCTTTTCTCTTTCCCTCGAGATATGTATATATATGCATATGGCTGGAGTGATAACATAGCGGGTAGGGCGTTTGCCTTGCACGCAGTCAGCATGGCTGACCGGAGTTCGATCCCTCCGCCCCTCTCGGAGAGCCTGGCAAGCTACCGAGAGTATCTCGCCCACACGGCAGAGCCTGGCAAGCTACCCGTGGCATATTCAATATGCCAAACACAGTAACAACAAGTCTCACGATAGAGACGTTACTGGGCCCGCTCGAGCAAATCGATGAAGAATGGGAGGACAGTGACAGTGATATGTATATATCAAAAAATTAAGTCAAACAATTAGTCAAACAATTAATTCTACTTCTTATCAATACTTCCAATAGAGTAAAAGATGAAGACCCCAAAACTTAGTTCTCTGGGCTCTGAAAGCAAGCCAGCCTTTTACCATAAATCCCAGACTAAGTCCTCAGTCAAGTCAGTTCAGCTTGTCCTTCCCCATGGGAGTTTTACCTCTGAAGTCATTACAGCTTTCATCAAGGCCATGCATTTATGCTTTCTAGACTGTCCCATTTTGATGCCAGGGCAACTTCACCACTCATTCCAGGTTCACCCCCGTCCCACGGCGGGACCTCCCTTTTAGGGTGTTAGCAACTATAGCAACTAAAGCCTGAGTCAAGTAATTATGACAGATGAGTATATATATTTGAGTCAATCAACTCCCAAATATTAGGAGCATAGCATTAATGGTCTTTCTGTATTTAAGCAGAGAACATTTTTCTATAGTAAAATATGAAAAGGCTACAGGGGAAAATAGAAAAGCAAGTAATTCACTACAGATACAAAATCCAGAATTACCAGTAAGTTTTGGCCCATAAGTAACCAAGATTGACTTGGGTAACTGTGACAATGAGGTGTAAAACACAAAGGAAAGGTTAAAGATAATCTCAGGGAATTAAGGATGCTCGAAAGAGCACTATAAACTTCGCTAGGAGGAGGAGAAGAGGCAGTTCACTGATGAAGCCTAAGACACTTAGGATTACTATCCAATACCTGTGTTTCTGAAACCGTAGTAATGTGGACAAGCTTGTAGGAAGCATAAATTTCAAAATTAGCTTAACAAAAATCCGGAATGTTCTGGAGGCAGCTGGAACACAGGTGGCTATGGGGACTGTCAGTGGACTGTGACCTCTGAGAGCTAAGGACCCCTTTGGCTAGGTGGAGCTCTGGGATTCCTTTCTGAAAGGAAACAAATGATGAGGAACCATAATCTCCTGAGGATGCTGAGGTGGGGGAGAGGGTCAAGGAACAGGGGAACAGCACAGACAGGCAGGGAGTGTTCTGGGGGCAGCACTGAGGAGCAGCAAAGGGGCACCAGGCTGGGCAAGACAGCTCCAGGCTCCCTTGGCTGCTGGAGCTGACCCAGCACCGTGTCCTGGACTCTGATACGGGAATCGGGTCCCCCAGGATGTGCATGACGTGCCTGCAGATAAACCTGCCCCACCTCCACCTGCCAGCTCCCCCCACCCTCACCCCCGAGCCGCCTTCTGCAGGCGCCTGCCCAGCAGTGGTAAAAGTGTACAGAGGCTTCCAGCTGCAGCCTGGACCAGCTCTGCTCTTGCGCCTCTCTCTTGCACTTAAAAGAGAAAACAACAAACCCCCTTGTTCCCACTGCAGCCTGGAAGAGCGGATGGGACCGGCACAGAATTGTTCTCTCTTACCTCCAAGTCTCGAGAAAGTGCTGGGCAAATCACACAAGGGACCCTCAGGTCTGAAGAAGCCCATTCAGGGCCCAGCAGCTGACCCACCACTGTGGGCTGGGGCGCGGGGAGCCCGGAATGTTGCTCTGGGAATGATCACACCACCCAGGAGCTGCACTCAGGTGGCCGTGTGTGTGGGGCAGCCCTGCCAGGTAAGAGCACCCCAGGGTCTCTGTGGGCAGGAGAGGAAACAGGGAGAGAGGAAACTGGGAGAAGGACTTGGGAGCTTTTCCGCTTGGTGTGTGGTAGGAGCCATGGGGCAGGGCTGGGGAGAGGCGTCTGCATTGCCGCAGGAGCCAGAGGGGATCAAAGTTGCTGCAGAAGCTGGTCATACTCGCAAGTGTGGTGGCAAGTGTGGAGTGCAGTCTTTTCCGGGCCACAGCAGCGGAGCACTTACTGCTGTGCTTCCAGCAGACCCCAAACCTGGCTTCTCAAAGATGCCAATTGGTGCCGGGCACAGCATCAGTTCATACACCAGGTGTTTCAGCTAGAGAGAGACATTCATACATGAGCATACACAAAGACACACACACACACACACTAGCACAGACACACACACACCAGCACAAATACACACACACCAGCACACATATACACACAGGCACACATACACACACACCAGCACAGACACACACACACCAGCACAGACACACACACATACCAGCACACATACACACACACACTGGCACACATACACACACACCAGCACAGACACACACACCAGCACAGACACACACACCAGCACACACACCAACACCAGCGCAGATACACACACACCAGGACACACACACACCAGCACACACACACACACACACCAGCACAGGCACACACACACACACCAGCACACACACACACACACCAGCACACACATACACCCCCCAGCATACACATTCAGCACCGTGGACAGAGCTCATGGCTTGGCAGTGCCAGCCTTCTCAGTACCTCCTGATCTCCACAGCCCACCCCTTCCTGCCTGAGGAAAGGCTCTTGCAGAGAGACAACCGATGAGAGAAAGCCCGTTCTCTTCGACCTGCTTCCTGTGGCTAGGAGGATGAAGCAAGCGTCAGGAGTGCCCCGAATGGGGTACTAGATTCCTTGACAAATGTGACAATCCCTGCTCCCCACCATCCTCTGCCTCAATTGATCCCCTGGAGAGGAGTGGAGGCGGCCCATCGGGGGTCTTGCCAGCTGCTGGACTCACAAGGGCTGGAGCTGAGGCAGAGCTGGATGGAGCCTCCTGCCAGCCCTTCTGTGCACACACACAGTGTGGACATATATGGACATACACAGTACTGTATGCACAGGTGTACAGGTGTTCTGTGGACACACAGTGCTGCATGCATGTAGTTACATGAACACGTGTGATTATACGCAAGCATGTGTGTAGCACTGTGCAAACATAGGGGGCTGTACACATGTATGCACACACAAACATGACACACAAGGAAGACATGTGTTTGCACACTGCAGCAAATTAAGCTCGCGTGGCCAGCAGCCTGGCCGGGAGGGACTATGCCCAGCTGAGACAGATACTCCTTCCCTCCCCTCTTCCCATGCAGGGCTGACAACGTTGCGGCCTTGAGACATCCACCTGCAGCCACCATGATGGACGAGGACATGGAGCTGAGGACGGATGGGAACTCTCTCCTGAAGGCTGTGTGGCTGGGGCGGCTCTGGCTGACCCGGTTGCTCCTGGAAGGGGGTGTCTACATCAATGAGAGCAACGAGCGAGGCGAGACAGCACTCATGGTGGCCTGCGGCACACAGCATGCAGCCCCACAGAGCAGCAGCAAGCCCAGGATGGTGAGGTAGCTGCTGGAGCAGCAGGTCGACCCCAACATCCAGGACAAGTGTGGCAGGACAGCGCTCATGCATGCCTGCATGCGGGGGGCCGGGAGTGAGGTGGTCTCCCTGCTGCTGGAGAATGGGGCTGATCCCAGCCTGGAGGACCACACGGGAGCCTCAGCGCTGGTCCATGCCATCAACACTGGCAACGAGGACGCGCTGCGCCACCTCCTAGATGCCTGCAAGGTCCAGGGGAAGGAGGTGATTATCATAACCACAAACACGGGCACCAAGACCACCAGGCAGTACCTCCACACACCTCCTCCACCCAAGGGGGAAATGTGGCAGACGCCCCTGCTCTGCACTTCGCCCTCAGACATTGAGAGGGATGCCCACAGCCCCAGCTCCCCGCCTATGGACAAGGAGCACTTCTTTGGCCTCCAAACGGGGTCCCTGGGGCCGGACCTTCCTCCCACAGCTCTGCAGGAGCCCGAATCACCCTCCAGGAAAGTTGGGAACCTCCAAAGGGCCCGCTTGCCACAGCTGAAGAGGCTGCAGTCAGAGCCCTGGGGCCTGCTGGCACTGTCAGTGCTGGCAGCCTCCAGGCACCAGGACAAGCCCCACGGCACCTGTACAGGCATCAGTGAGGCACCCTTCCCCAAATGGGGTCCACTGTCCAGAACCAACAATGTGGACGGCAAGGACTCCATGCTCTTCCACTCAGTCCCAGAGCAAGGCCCCAAGATCCCTATGGCCTGGAGGGTGCCCCACGACAAAGGCCAGGTTCCCCATACACTCCTGGCTCGGAGAGGTGCCGTCCCTGAAGATCAGGAGAAGGGCAGTCTGGACCCTACAGTGACACCCCAGCCTCCAGAAGATGACCACTATGGCAAAGATGTGTCGCCCAGCACCAGCATCCTGGAGCCCAGCACAGTCTCCTCAGACAGGAAGAGGCTCACCAGCTCCCACCTGTCACTGTTCCATAGCTCCCGGGAGGCGTGAACACTACGGCCAGCTTGTCCCCCAGTGCCACTCACCACCACCCACCACCCCTTCTGGAACGACAGGGCTCTGGCACTCTGTTCCCTCAGACCCGGCCTGGCTTCCTGCCGCCACTCACCGCCCACCTGAGTCCGTCCATCAGGGACGTCTGGCCCAGCAGCACACCGGCCTCCCCAGTAGTCGGAGGCCTAAATGCCAAGGGCCCCACCGTGCCAAGCTCCCCAGGGACACTGGAGCTGAGAAGCAAAAAGGCACTTCTACGCAGACACTCAATGCAGACCGAGCAGATGCGACAGCTGTCTGGGTCCCACGTGCTGACCTAGGGCTGCCCAGAGTCCTCCTGTTGCTTCCCTCTTGAGGGCCACTGCCAGGGACCACCGAGGGATGTTATTTCTCGGTAGCCCAGTGAGTCTGGGGGCTCCCATGGAACACAATTCTTTTCTCATCTGTCCTTCTGTCCACGTCATGTCAAGGGTGTTGGGCAGAGGGCTGAAGATAGGAGAAGCCCTCAGGATTGTCAGAGTCCCCCAGATTTTCCACAGAGGCTGGCCTTTGGCACTCGCCCCACCGGGCAGTGGTCTGAGCTGATGGCAGTTCCCACCAGAATCCGGATGGATCACCAGGTGCTGTTTGAAGCATCATCTGTGATCAGTTTACAAAATGCCTGGTAAGAATGGATTCTCTCTCATTTGTTAGAGGATCAGAGCCTGCCACGATACAGAGTGTGGGGGTGATGCTCCCTGGAAGGCACTGGGCAGGACCACTTTGAGGGTGTTCCCTGAGAAAGGGCAAACTTTCAGAATTTCCAGGATGTGCTATCACTGATGCAAACATGATTGTGAACTGAGTCCCCAGACAGAACATTCTTCCCTGAAGAAGCCACTGATCCCAGCTGACAAGGGTCAACTCCAGACAACGCTGATGTGTTCAAGCAGCTGGAGCCTGGTGTCCCCAATGTAGGCAGGTATTAGAATTTTGCACAAAAATCCTCCCTGTGAAATCCAGGACCTGTCCTAAGTTTCGGATCCCCTATGAAAATTCTTGAGTTTTTTTCAGTGTTTTGGTTTCTTTTTTTTGGGGGGGGGGGAGGTTACACGGGTGATGCACAGGGGTTACTCCTGGCAGTGCTCAGGGAACCGTATGGGACCCTGGGAACCAAACCTGGGTCGGCCTCGTGCAAGGCAAATGCCCTACCCGCTGTACTATGGCTCCAGCACCCCTAAATTTCTTGAGTCTGGGCTACAGATATAGTACCAGGGGGTAGAGCACTTTCCTTGCACACAGCTGACCCAGGTTCCATCCCGAGCACCACACAGGCTCCCCTGAAGCACTGCCAGGAGCGATCCCTGAGCACAAGAGCCAGCGGTAAGCCCTGTGCGCTGTGTCCCAAGCCACGCCCCCATCAAATGCAAACATAAATAAATGCTCAAGAAAAAAGTTTCCTGATTCGTTCTATTAGGTGCTTTCCCCAAACCGGGGCAGTTCTTGATGAGATGCAAAGGCTGGAAGGTAAGGGGCAGTTCTCAGGTCGGAAGCCGCGGGGACCTCTTAATGCAGCAGCCTGAACATTTGCAAGGTACCTGCCTGCTTATTCGTCTAGGTAGCCCGGCAGGAGCTAGTTTCTTCTGTGCCCCGATTCCCGGGTGAGTATGCCGGGCCATGACCTCACAGCCCCTTTCCCCGGAAACCGGAGACAGAAGCTGCAGGGGGCCGGGGTCCCCAGGTGCAAGGTCGGGGTCTTCGTCTCTTCCTCACAGACTCAGACCTCTCGGCTCGGGTCGGAGCAGGAGGCCGCGCTTCCCCTGAGCAAGCCTCTAACAGCTCAAAATGCCCGGCCACGGCGTGGGTGGCCCTGGCCTGAGAAGCACCGAGCCTACAGCGTTATTTCCGGCTTCCCAGCCCAGCTCCGGCCACTTGGCAGCTTCCCCCGGGGATGCGGCGTGCACGCTCTGTGCACCGCCTGGAACCAAGCTGACAGTGTTCCCGCGAGGAAAGGGCCAAGAGCTGCGGGGTTTGTCCTCCCCGCGCTCAGTGCGATCCCCGGAGCACGACCGCTCGGGACGTGGGGACACCGGACTGGAAGCTCTCAGCGAAAACGCAGCTCCCGGGAGCTACGGAAAACGCGCAGGAACCGCGCTCAGGGAGGCGCGCCTGCGCACTGAGGCCCACCGGGACGACGCGCGCCTGCGCACTAGAGCCCTGAGTGTGCGCCTGCGCACTAGGTCCCCAGGCTGAGTGGCGTGCGCCTGCGTACTGCGTCCCCTGCGGGGAGGACTCGCGCCTGCGCAGTGGATCCAGCAGCCTAAAGAACTCGCGCCTGCACATTGGCGCCTCCCGGCTGAGGCGCACCTGCGCACTCAATCGTTTGCCCTCCCCGACAGAAGACCGCGCGCCTGCACACTGCGTCTCGGGCTGGAAGATCTTGCGCCTGCGCCGTACATCCCCCGCGCCGCACCGCCCCCCCCCGGGCCTGAAGAGCTCGCGCTTGCGCACTGGGTTCCCCGCGCGGGACGCGGGCGCCTGCGCACTAGTGCGCACCCCCGCCACTCCCGGGCCGGGCCCGCCCCCCTCTCGCGCCACGTCTGTCCGGCGCGTCTGGTGGGCAGCGAGGGGCGTTCGGCGGCGCTGCCCGCGCTGCGGACGGCGTCATGAGCGGCACGGCCTGCGCTCTGCTGCTCCTGCTGCCGCTGCTTCTGCGAGCGGAGCAGCCGCGGGGAGCCGAGCTCACCTTCGAGCTGCCGGACAGCGCCAGGCAGTGCTTCTACGAGGACGTGGCGCTCGGGGTGCGCTTCTCGCTCGACTATCAGGTGCGCCCCGCCGGGTGGAGGTGATAGGACCCTCCCAGGAGGGGGGGGAGGGGACCTCCAGGAGGTGCTGGGGTGACAGGACCTGGGAAGGGTGGGGGGTTAATAGGACCCTCGAGGAGAGGATGGGGTAACGGGTCCCGGGAGGGAGGAGGTGGTGGGACCCCCCAGGAAGGGATAAGGAAGTAGGGCCCGAGCGGGAGGGAGTAATCGGACCACCAGTAGGGAATAGAGTGATGGGACCCCCCAGGAGGGGAGGAGGTGGTGGGACCCCCCAGCAAGGGATAAGGAAGTAGGGCCCGAGCGGGAGGGAGTAATCGGACCACCAGTAGGGAATAGAGTGATGGGACCCCCCCAGGAGGGGAGGAGGTGGTGGGACACCCCCCACCCCCAGGAGAGGATGTGGATAATAGGACACGGGAGGGAGGGAGTAATCGGAGCACCAACAGGGGATGGGGTTATGGGACCCTCCCAGGAGAGGATGGAGTGATGGGGCCCCCCAGGAGGAGATGGGGATGAGGGGACCCTGGGAAGGCTGGGAGAGCAATGGGACCCTGGAGTGGTGGCCCCTTTCACCAGCCCAAGAGCTGTTCAGCCCTGCATTTTCCTTGAAAGGTAGTGGGGAGCAAGAGGGTTGTGGTCCCCATCAGGAGCAGGGGGCGAGGTCACAGGCTCCTGCCGTTGGTGCTCTTAGTGGGCTGCTCTTGGGGTTCTGCAGGTGAGTCATCTGCCTAGTGTGCCCACAGGTCATCGCAGGGGGCCACTACGACGTGGACTGCTCAGTGCAGGACCCACAGGGGCGTAGCCTGTACCATGCCACCAAGAAGCAGTACGACAGTTTCACGCACCAGGCAGAGCTGGCAGGCGTCCACCAGTTCTGCTTCAGCAACGAGTTCTCCACCTTCTCGCACAAGACTGTCTACTTCGACTTCCAGGTGGGGGATGAGCCCCCCATTCTGCCAGACATGGGGAGCCGGGTCACTGCCCTCACGCAGGTGAGTGCAGGGGCACAGTCCAGCCCCTGCCCTAGCTAACGTGAGACCCACAGACAGAACTGAACTTCATAGGAAGGTGGGGGAACCTTCCAAGGGGGCGTGGCTTGGAAGCACCAAATATTTACCGAGTGTCAGCTGCCCAGGAACCCTGTAGAACAGGAGTGTTCTGGCTCCTTGTTCTGGAGCTGCGTGCCTGTGTCTCCAGAGGCCACGTCACGACCCATCCCTGGTGCCTATGGGCTGCAGCCGTGCCCTGGCCTGGTCTTCCTTGCCTGCCACCCCTCTGGGCCAGTGCAAGTGCAGAGGGAATCCATATTTTTGGCCTTAGAGATTTTTTTTTGGGGGGGGGGGACTTGCCCCATGATACTTCGGGATTACTCCGGGCTCTGTGCTCAGGGGACCATATGGGATGCCAGGGATTGAATTTGGGCTGGCCACTTCAAGGCAAGCACCTTCCCGCCATCCTGTCTCTCCACCGTTGGCCCTTGAAATAGTCCGTGTGAATTCGAGCTCTGGGATGCTATCCTTGGCGTAGGTCCTGCAAGGCAGGACCCCAGCCCCAGCATCTCCTGCACGAGCCCTTTGGAGCCTGCACTTGGGGTCAGTCAGGCATGGGTTGGTTCTATTTAACCGCCCCGAACCCCTCCTTGCCCAAGGGGTTCGTTCAGCCGCTGTCCCCCCCACCCAGATGGAGTCGGCCTGTGTCACCATCCACGAGGCACTGAAGTCCGTGATCGACTCGCAGACACACTACCGGCTGCGGGAGGCCCAGGACCGGGCCCGAGCGGAGGACCTGAACAGCCGCGTGTGCTGCTGGTCTGTGGGCGAGACAGTGGTGCTGTTGGTGGTCAGCCTGGGCCAGCTGATGCTTCTCAAGAGCTTCTTCACAGACAAGCGGCCCAGCAGTGGGGCCTCCTAAGGGCCCCGGTGTCTATGTGTCTGTGAGGAGGGGCACCGTCCTGGCTCCAGGGCTCTGCAGCTAGTGGCTCTGCAGGCTAAGGGCTGTCCCTGCAGACCCTGGCCACCGCCGGTCACCTCCATGTAGGCAGCCTGGATGAAGACGTCCTGGGGGCTGTTCTCTTGGGAGAGGGTTCAGGCAGTGCCTGGTCATCAGGGAGGGGCCTTCCATGTGCCCCCCACTGCCCCAGAGGCAGGTTGGGGGCCTGGGGCCAAGACATATGGTGGCGGGATGGACTTGAGTCAATAAACTGAGCTTGAGCCCCACCGACTTGACTTTTCTTCTTGGCTGGAGGGGCCGTGGGACAGGGAGTGAGAGGCCCCTGCAAACTGGGGGTCCTGGGGGGTACAGTGCCAAGTCCACGAGTCACGGTGGTCTGTCCTCAGTGAGAGGCCCAGCCGCCTGCTGCTTGGAACATGCCATGGAGTTTCCGCTTTTTTCCTAGAGCTGCGGCAATACGAGAAAAGGCCACCAGGGGGCAGAAGAGGGGCCGGGTCTTGGCGGGGTTTGGGTGCTGGCCGGCTGGAGCAGAGGACCAAATGGGCTGAGAAGCTCCAGACTGCTCTGGGGTTTGGTTCGTGACGGCCAGGTCACCGAGCATCACCGGCTCATCATGGCTGAGGAGAGCTGGGGTGCTCCCACTGACCTCAGTGCCAGGTTCAGACTGGGCTGGGAGGCCTGGCACACAGATCAAACTGCCTCAGGGGGCCTGGGGGGCGCTCAGCTTTATGCTTGCCAGGCCAACGCTGCCTCACCACCAGCCACAGCCAAGAGCCCAAGTTTTGTAATTAATACTCAGCTGATGGATTAATTATTCCTCCGGAGGCACTGATGAACCTGAGTAATTGAAATTCACCTTCTCTTTTCCTTTTCAAATGGATGTTAGCCACTCATTAAAGTGCTTTTTCTATTCCTGAGGAATAGAACCAAAAAACCTTTTATAATACATGCTGAGTTACAATTAATTATACTTGTCACCCTTACTTACAGTTAATTTACTTGTCACCTTTTATTTACAAAAATCTTATTTAACCAGGGTCTGGAGCGATAGTATAGTGGGTAGGGTGTTTGCCTTGCATGTGGCTCACCCAGGTTCCATCCTGACATCCCACGTGGTCCCCCGAGCACTGCTAGGAGTCACTTCTGAGTGCAGAGCCAGGAGTATCCCTGAGCATTGCTGGGTGAGACACAAACTTCCCCCCAATCCCCAGAAGAAAAAACAACCCTATTTAACCAGAAAGAATTGGTTAAGTGGAAAGCTATGTATTAATATATAATATACTGTTACAGGGCTCGAGCGATAGCACAGCGGGTAGGGCGTTCGCCTTACAAGCGGCCAACATGGCCGACCCGAGTTCGATTCCTCCGCCCCTCTCGGAGAGCCCGGCAAGCTACCGAGAGTATTCGATATGCCAAACACAGTAACAACAAAGTCTCCAATGGAGACATTACTGGACCCGCTCGAGCAAATCGACGATCAACGGGAGGGCCTTTACCTTTTTGGGCTGGAGCGATAGCACAGCGGGTAGGGCGTTCGCCTTACAAGCAGCCAACATGGCCGACCCGAGTTCGATTCCTCCGCCCCTCTCGGAGAGCCCGGCAAGCTACCGAGAGTATTCGATATGCCAGACACAGTAACAACAAAGTCTCCAATGGAGACGTTACTGGGCCCGCTCGAGCAAATCGACGATCAACGGGAGGGCCTTTACTTTACTTTACTTATACTGTTACACTAATAATAAAATACTATATATTATTACTATATTTATATTAATATATATGCCAGGAAAGGCAGGAAAAAATTTAATGAATACAGCCTATAGTAGCACCAGGAATTCCATCTATGAACACAGTTTCTATTGTATGTACATAATTACATTGCACATATTACGTATACTGTCACTGTCCTCCCATTGGAGTGGGTCCAGTAACGTCTCCATTGGAGACTTTGTTGTTACTGTGTCTGGCATATCTTGCCGGGCTCTCCGAGAGGGGCGGAGGAATCGAACTCGGGTCAGCCATGTTGGCTGCGTGCAAGGCAAACGCCCTACCCGCTGTGCTGTTGCTCCAGCCCATTACGTATACTATGTATAAATATTACATTACATAATAACATATTTAGTACATTGAACATGGGTCATTTAAATACAACTAAGTTGACAGAGTATTCCAGAAAATATCTCTTCCATTACCTGCTTTGTATTTTGATTTGGCAAAGCCTTGCAGCCATGTTTGTAGCTCATCAGCAGACAGAGAACCCCCCTGCACACAGTCATCCAGCCAGGGTGGTTCTTGCTGGCCAACCATGAGTTATGTCCAGGTGTTCAGATGGATCAGTGAAAGGACAAAGGTGCAGAGGACAGTAACTTCCCAGTGTATTGGGGAATGTTGCTGAAAAGCATCATTAGGAACTTGGGGCTGGAAGGTGGCCCTTGTAGTGCCAGGGCAGAGTCCGGGGGACTGCACACTCAAGTGTGACCTCACTGTGCTACTCCAGGCCCTGAGAAGAACTTGGGTTGTTTTTTTTTTTCTTGCAGGAGGGAGGCTTCAGGCATTGCTCAGGAGCGGGGGCCAGAGGTCCCCCTGGCACTGATCCATTGCAGCTTCTGAAAACGCCTCACTTCTGCTGCCAGCATCATCTCTGGGGGTCTGAGCACGGGTCTGGAGATGTCACCTCCCCCGGAGCTTGCAGGGGGCCCCCAGCTCTGCCACTCCTCCATGGCGGGGTACAGAGCTGACTCATCTGAGCTGGCGGCTGAGATTACAGAGAACAGACGCTCACCGAGGCGTGTTTGCAAACAGTTGGCGTGTGCAAGTCTGAGGTGGGCACAGTCGCTCTCCGTACTCCTTGGCTGCACCCCTTGAGCTGTCCCCCAGGTGACCTCCAGACTTCCCTGCTCTCGCCCCTTTGGTAGATCCCCCAGGAAGCTGTACGCACATCGCAGCACCCCGCCCCCCCCACACCACCCCCACCAGTCAGCCTCAGCACAAAGCCAGGGCACACGGGGGTTGGATACTCCCCTTCTGCACCACTGACTTCCTGGAAGGTGCAGAGGACCCCATTGAGGCCCTGCTCCTGGTCTTAGCACTGCTCAGGAGAGTCAGGACCCGGAGAAATGGAGAAACCCTCCACAGGACACCTGGCAGAAACGGGGCATTCCAGGGGCATCCCAAGGGTAGCACTTTCAAGCTTTCTGGACCCCCAGCACAGATGCCAGGGAACAAGCAGTCCTCGTCCATGTTGGGTTTTGGGTACCACCTTCATTCCTGGCCCCCCTGCCCAGTGCCCTCCTCCTCCCTGCAGGAATGATGGGGCACCCTCTTACCCTGGAGACTGACCCACTGCCCCCTCAGCCCAGGTCCCCAGACCCTCCTGTGATTTGGTCTTTCTGTGCACAGAGGAACACAGAGAAGCGTCCCCCTGCCCCAGTGGCTAAGAGGGGGTGGGCAGGGTGTCCAGCCTGGGAGAAAGTGTGGGAGTCTGGAGTGCTGGCCGCGACGGGGGGAGAGGGTGTGAGCACCCTGGGGTGGGGGGACCCTGTGAGCCCCTTTCTGTGTGGTTTCAGAGGAAAAGTGAAGAAGCCTCTTGTCTGCCTCGTCTCACAGCTGTGGTCAGGGCTGCGGGGGCCTCCGGCGGGAAGGCTGGAGTGGAGGCTTGTCCGGCTCGTCCTGTTCCCTCTGCGGGACAGGGCAGCTCTGCCACTCTGACTTCTGGGGGCTGGGCGAAGGCCTTGAGCGGGGAGGGGCTCGGGCCGCCGGGCACAGACTGTTCTCAGGCCAGACAGAGGCGGCACTCAGCCACTGGCAAACACTGGTTGCCATCGGCCCCGCCACTCTTAACCCTTTCGCTTCCTTCGGCCTCGCGGGAGGGCACCGCGGGCGGTCGGCTGTGCTATCCCCTGGGCGTGGAGGTCTCGCCCCCGGAGAGGGTCCACCCGGAGGGGCCGCGCGCCCGGAGAGGGTCCACCCGGAGAGGCCGCGCGCCCGGGGGAGGGTCCACCTGGAGAGAGTCCGCCCAGAGGGTTCCGCCCGGAGGGGCCACCCGGAGGGGCCGCGCGCCCGGGGAGGGTCCCCCTGGAGAGTCCATCGGAGGGTCCGCTCGCAGAGGGTCCGCCCGGAGGGTCCCGCCCGCCGGTGTGTGCGCGCCCGGGGAGGGCGGTCACGTGGCGGCCCATCGCTCCAATCTGGGCCCCTGACGCCCGGCCGGGCCAAGAGGGAAAATCAATGAGCGAAGTGGCCGGCGCGGCCCGGCGGGGCCCGGGGCTGCGGGGCCGCGCGCCGCGGTCACCTTCAGTGCGGGCCGCGGGGGACGTGGCGCGGCCGGACACAAAGGGGGGCGCGCGCAGGTGAGTGCAGCCCCCGGGGCCTGGAGGGGGGCGGGGGCTGGGGCGGGGGCCACTGCGGCCCTGGTGGCCACGGGGCGGGGAGCTGAGCCCGGCCGGGGGTCCTCGGAGGGGCGCGCCTGCAGTTTGGGGGAAGTTTCCACGGCTGAAAATCCGATTCTCCGGAAGAGGCGATTCGAGGGTTAAATCCGGGGCCGTGTGGGCACCCGACTGGCCCCGCGGAGAACCCCTGGGTGCTCCCAGCACGCGCGCCCCGCCGCCCGGCCCCGCGCACCTGCTCGGCAGGAGCCCGTTGAGGGCTGACACGTAAGGGGAAGGGGACCCCCAAACTCGGCGAGGCTGGCGCTGGGGCACGCACAAAGGGGTATGCACCCTGCCTTTGGCCGAGGGGGCCGCCTGCAGGATGCCCGAGGCCAGGACCGCGGCGGCACCGCCGGAAGAAAAGAAGGGCCGGGGCGCTGCAGAAAGCGCCAAGAGAGATCCAGTCCCTAAGCCCGCGCCTGCAGGGGACCCTGGAATGACCCGTGAGCAGGGCTGGTGATCCCGGGAGGTGTGGAAAGGCTTGGAGCCTGGAAGCCAATGCCAGTGGCCAGGGAGGGAGAGGACAGGAGTGCCCCGGGTGACTGAGGACCAGGAGCCCTGGGACGGGGAGCCAGCTTGGACTCTGGCGGCTCCAGGACCGAAGCCTTTTGCGTTTTCTCTAGATGCGACCTTGGTGACTTACCAGCTTCGAGAAGCCTCGGTGCCCTCTGGGTGGGGACGCCTGTCCCACCTCAGTCCTGAAGCTTCCGGGGCTTCCTCACGCCGCCCCACCCCTGAATCTTGGTGTTGCAGAACAGAAGGGGGGGCAGTTTAGCAGGGAAGGCTGCCTGGGAGGGTGAACTGTGTCTCTGGGAGCCTCGAGTCCCAGCCTCACCCACATTCACTGGACTCAGGCAAGACGCCTCGGAGGGTGGGTGTCTGATTCTGTGCTGCCCAAGGGGGCAGGAGGCGGGTGCAGGGGGCGGGTCTCTTGGATTTATGCTGTCTGTGGGGGGCAGGGATTGGGTCTCTCTGATTTCTCCCAGCTGCCCTTTCCATGCCTCTGTCCCCTCTGGGGGCGTTCCCCTGCCGACTCAATTCCCAACATGTTCCTGAGGCTCCACATTCAGCAGGCTCCGGTGGGAAATTACTTAACAAATTTGCTTCACTCTTTGGGGGACCCACCTCAGTGAACGTCTTTATGCAAAACCTCTGTTGCGGATGATTTTTCACAGGGGCCCACAGTGGCTCATGGGGCGGGTTGTGCGGTGCCAGGGGTGGAACTTGGGTCTTCGGCAGAGCCTGAGCACAGCCCCCACTGGCTCGCCAGGCCCCCTCTGTCATTTTCCCAGGCCTTCCTGGGAACATGGCTCTGCGGGGCGCTGACCTTCCCCCTCGTCCTGATGCTGTCCTCCAGGTCCTGAGCCATGGAGGCCCCGCGGGAACCACCGCTGGTCCTGGTGAAGGTTCTGGAGGAGCTGGCCAGCACGCGGCCCGCGACATCCTACCAGGACCTCTGCCAGTCCCTTTGTGCCCGCCTGGATCTGCCTCAGCTCTCCAGGCTCCGGAACCTGCTCTTCCACACTGCCTGCCTGGACCCTGGCTTCCCGGCCATGCTCTTCAAGGACAAGGTGAAGTGTCCTGCAGACAACTCGCAGTCCAAGAAGATCATGGTGGCTGCCGACGTGGTAACCATGTTCAACCTCATCCAGATGAGTGGCAGCGCTGCCAAGGAGAAGCTGCCGGGGGCAGGGGGGTGCCGGGAGGAGGCGGGCGGCGAGGCCGAGTGTGGGCCCCTGGACTGCCAGCTCCGCCACCAGCCCTTCGGCCCAGGATACCCGGCTGGGCGGTGCGAGAGCAGGGAGAGCCCCGAGTTCCTGCCCCCCTTGCAGCCCGACTTCCTGCTGGGTGTGGGCGAGGCCAGCAAGAGCCGCACAGCATCTCTGGACCGCCTGCAGCGCCTGGGCCCTTTCGGCGTGGGTGTCCCACGGCCCTGCGAGATGCAGAGAACCTACTTCCCCATGAACCTGGACAGCGAGCCGCTCTCAGACACAGAGCCACTGCCCCCCAGCCTGGCCGGCAGTGACGCCTTCCTGCCCACTGACCAGCCCCTGCTGGTGCCCTCCCGCGAGCAGAGATGCGGTATCTCCAGAGAGAACTTCCACCTGCTGGTGCCCATGGGCCCCCGGCAGGCTGGGACGAAGCGCGGGGCACCCCCGAGGCGGAAGGAGCCGCCCAGGAGCCCTGTCTTCACCCACAGCTTTGAGCTGCCAAGCAGCAGCCCCAGCCTGGACCCTGCATACGACCAGCGACGGGTCAAGCATGAGAGCCTGGACGACCTGCAGGCTTCTACCTACTTCGGCCCCTCGCCTGTGCCCGGGGCAGCAGAGCCACGGCGCTGCCCCGGAAGGCCCGGCAGACCTAGCCCCTGGCCGGCCAAGAGCTGGAGCCTCAACACAGACGAAGTGCCTGACTTCGAGTGCTCCTTCTTCAGCAGAGAGCCCCCCGAGGAGAAGAAGCAGCGATACCCCAGTCCTGGCACCCAGAGCCCCATGTTCCCCACCCGGGACAGGCGTCAGGCTTTCCTGCCACCCAAGGACTCAGAGCCTGTCCTGTACGTGGCCACACCTGCGGCCACACCTATGAACCTGGAGAACGCCGAGCCGGCCAAGGCCTTCCAGGAGGACAGGCCAGGCTGCAGCAGCAGGCAGCTGAGCACGGACACCAGCAGCGTGAGCACCCAGACGGAGCCGCTGGTGCCAGAGCCCAGAGGCACCGCCAGGTCCAGCGACAGGCATGGCCGGAAGCGGTCGGAGGAGTCTGAGGCCATCAGCGACGACATCAGTGACATCTTCCGCTTCCTGGACGACATGAGCATCTGCGGCTCCTCAGGAATCCTGCCCTCGTCCTGCCACAACAGCATGGGGTCCCTGTCCCAGCTGCCCAAGTCCGACAGCGACAGCCCCGCGGGGGGCCAGGGTCACTCGGAGGAGGAGCTGAGGAGCAGCGTGTGCCGGCTGCTGCTGCGGATCGGGGATATCGAACGCAGGCTGGAGTCGCTGCTGGGTGTGCGCGAGGAGATCTCCCAGGTCCTGGGGAAGCTCAACAAGCTGGACCAGAAGATGCGGCAGCCCGTGGAGCCGGCGGGCCGCGCTCCACTGGACCTGTCAGAGGACGAGGGGAGCGACTCGGCCCAGCTGCCCCGCGCCCACACGCCTGCCCGGGACGACACAGCTGCCGACTGGGGCTGCTCCGAGGGCGGTGGCAGCCACGGCACCGGCTTGCACGTGGCAGCCCTCAAGCGGAGCCTGCTGGCCCGGCCCTCCTCCAGGTCCCTGACGGAGAACAGCGCCACCGAGTCGAAGATCGCTAGCATCTCCGACTCGCCAAGGGGCTGGCGCCCCGTCACCCATGCCACCCACGCTGGCCGAGGGGGCCTGGGCGGGACTGAGGGCAAAGACTGGCATCGCAAGCCCAAGGAGGTAAGGCCACTGTGGGGGCTTCACAAGGCCCTGGAGGGTCCGACTGGCTGGTCTCCCGTCATGCATGAAGCTTCTGTGGCTGTGGAGTGGGCGCAGGGGCACAGGCAGGGCACCCTCACGTGTGCCAGAGAGGACAGGAGGAGAGAAGGGTCTCCCTGAGTTCCTCTCGGGAGCCGGGGGGGTTCTTGGGCTGCCCCGGAGGGATGTAATGTGGGGTGCAGCGTGGGGGAGAGGCACCCGAGGAGCCGAGGGCACCTTGTGCCCCCAGCAGGCATTTTGGGCAGGTCCCACATGCATGTGTAGGGTGGTACTGTTTTCCTGTGGACAGTGTCCCCTCATCCCCCAGCAGTGCTCTGGGGCTCCCGGGGACTTGCTGGGTCCCCAGTCCCCACCTAGTGGAGGCTTTTCCTCAACCTTGGGTCCTTCCTCTTCGGGAGGCATTTGCACGTCTGTGGTGGACAGAGTCCAGGCCTGGACATGGGGTCTGTCTAGGGTTGGAGACACAGCAGTCCAGGGGCCCACACTTGTACCCTCTCCCACACAGACCGATCGGCAGCATGAGGCGCCCCACACTGGCTTCCTGGTGGAGCAGGTTTTCAGCCCCCACGCGCACCCCGCCTCACTCCGGGGCCCCACCAAGGGTGGCTCATTGTATGCCAACATGCGGCTGGCCGAGGTGAAGAGGCAGCCCCCCTGGGCCCTGGAGGAGCATGTCCGCAGCGTGGGTGCCAAGGGCAAACTGGCTGCACTGGACCTGCAGGTAAGCGCTCAGGTGGGTCCCCAGCCCTCAAACCCGGAGACCCCCCTAGCACCATCGGGCCAAGTAGCCCCCACAGCAGCCCCCCACCCCCTGCTCCAGAGGCCCTGGGCTGTCCAGGATAAGGTGGCAGCTGAGAGGACATCTGCTGACCTCCCTTCAGGCAGCAGAGGGATATGTGGGTCCCTGGAGGCATGTCTGCGGGGCTGTGGGGTGGGGCCCAGGAAGGTGGACACAGGGAAAGGTCCAGGTGGGCAGCAGCAGGCTCCGTCCACACTGATGGTGCTGAGTCTGGGGCGTCACCTGCATCCGGTGGGGGTGGGGACCTAGTCCCACATCCACCGGGACAGCCAGACAGAGTCGTGGGGGTCTTGGAAAGCCTCTCCCATCTGCAGGGGGGGAGGCAGGTGGGACTCACGCGTGGGCGGGGGTGAGGAGAGCCTCCTTGACACCATCCTCGGCCCTCAGACCCAGGAGTCCCTGAACCCCAACAACCTGGATTACTGGATGGAAGGGCTCCACACACCTGGCTATGACTCACTGTTGAAGCACAAGGAGGCCGAGTTCCGGCGTGCCAAGGGATGCAAGCTGGCGGCCCTCATCACCGCGGCCGCCTGCACCGTGCTGCTGGTCATCGTCGTGCCCCTCTGCACCATGAAGTCATGAGCAGGCAGGGAGACATGGTCTCGGCGGGAAGAAGTGGGTGACCGGCATGTCCTGGGCCCGGGGCACTGAGGGGCCTACCAAGGGCTAAAATACTGATTCTGGCCCGTCCGACACCGTCTTCATGGGCCACCGTGGAACTTTCTGCACACCCCTCTGTGCAGGGCAGGACTGAGCTGCCATGTCTGCTCAGAGCCTGTCCCCATCTGGGAGTGGGGGTCAGGGGAGAACCCCCAGGCTTCGGGTCCTGAGGGAGTGGTATCTCCCCAACCCTCTCTGGGACTTCGTGTGTCTGGGGCTCGTACCTCGAAGAACAAAAGAGGACTGAACGCTGAGGTTCTCAGGAGTGTGGGGCCCCCACCTCCCTCATTCCGGGGGCTGTTCACAGCTCCTCAGCCCTAGCAGGGTCCTGTGGGAGGGTCTCAGCTCCCCCCACACTGACACTGACTTTCCAATGGTCAGCAGAGCAAAAAAAAAAAAAAGACAAAACAGCTCCACTGAACCACATCTGTGCGTCTGTCCGTCTGTCTGGTTGGCGAGCTGGGCTCCGTCTTGTCTCTCCGAAGGCACTGCAGTGTCCCCCGGACTCCCACAGTCATACCATCTCCTGAGGCCGAGCCTTCCCTGCCCCTGGGATCTGATGGGGATGGCAATGTGAGACCAGCTGGGGTGGCAGGGCCCATGGACGCAGCCTTTGAGCAACCAAAGGCCAGCAGAGCCATGCCCTTGAGTTGGGGTCAGCATGGTTTGGGGGTGCCCAAGTGAATAGCTGTGTGGTGGCATCCAGCTCTTCCTTTCCTGGTGCTGTGTGTGGGGCAGCTGCTCCCGAAGGTGGCCCTGGGATGTGGCCCCCATTCTGCCACGCCTCCATCCACATCCTGTAACTGCCTCTCCAGCCCCTCTGGCCATCCGTGGGGGCAGCACCAGTCAGCTGGGGAGGGACACAGCCACCCAGACAGGGAAAGGGAGGATACAGATTCCCCTGCCCCCATTCCAGAATGGTCTCTGCAAGGGCCATTTCCTGGGTCTGAGCCTGCATCATCACATGCCCAAACCACCTCATTCCCATGTTCAGGCAGCAGGCCTGGCCCTGCTGGCAAGATTCTGTCCGCAGGAGCTGCCCTGAGCTCGTGGGAAATCATTTTCCTTACCTCCTCTTTCCATTTCTATCCACTTTGGACAGCGCCTCGGAAAAGCAAAAAAGTCCCCACCTTCTGCTTCCGGGTACTCCACCCCATACCTCTTTGTTGCCTGGAGCAAACCCTTCTCTGTCCCCTGCCTGCCCAGGGCAGGTAGTCAATGCCAGGGCACAGCGGCACCTGGAGGCCTGACTGATGGCTACTGAATGCTCCTCCGAAAACCACGATGGGCCAGTCGTGTTTACAGATACCAGAAAAGGCGATGGAGCCCCTGGGCTTGGGACAGAGAACACTGCCCAGAAAGTGTCCAGCGGGTGGTTCAGAAACTCGGAACACCATAGCCCCACCTGCTCCCAGTGTTGCACAGTCCGAGGGAATGTTCCGGTTGTTCTGCTCAACCACGAGGACCCTGTTACAACAGGATGCCTGGGGGGTCCTGAGGACCCTGTCATGACTGTATGTATATGAGCCTGGGGTCTATTTCTAAAGGGGTTTGTCATTGCTGGAATAATGTGGGATGGGGTCTCAATATTTATTCAAGTAACTGAGAGACGCAACATACTTATGCCTTATGAGTGAGGGGTATGGGAGGGCGGTTCAGGGGAGACTGAGGCCCCGGGTCTGATGTGTCCGTCTCGGCTCACTCCTGGTGCTTGGCCAATGTTATATAAAACCAAGAACTAAGCACATTTCTAGACTTCGTTTTCAAATGGCTCTAGTCACATTTGGTGAATGTACAAGGTTGGTTTGAAGCGCTCATGTAAAATCTGCCTCTCTACATATAACCGAAAATAAACTTAGAAAGTGGTCGATTCCTTGCTGTGAGGTCTTTGTCCTGGGTACCGAGGAGCTAAGCTGCAGGCACCAGCCTAAGGGCAGGGCTCAGGGGACAGGGTGTGCTACCCGCGGGACTATTGCTCTGGCTTTTGGAGTTCTCATTTTCGAGGCAGAAACTCTTCCTTTCCTCCACATGCTCGCCCTGCTGAGCCACATTTAAGACACTGAAACTCCCTTCTCCTGCGTCTCGTGCAGCATCAGGCGTAGGTGACCGTCAGTAGTGAGACACGCCTCTCCCTGCACACGCGGCCTGCATGTTTGTGCTTCTGGGTGTCTTCTGCCCATGGTCTGTTCCTGCGCAGCGGAGCACCGGGCTGCAAAGTGCCAATGCGCCATCGGCTGTGACTTCACCACCAGAACAGCGCCGAGCCCCACCGCCAAGAATGAGCTGGACTTTACTGTCTCTATGCCAGAGGCACAGAAAAAGTCAGGGGGCCCAGGGTAGGGAGGCCTCGGGGCGGGCCAGCCGAGCACCTTGGGAGTCCCAATTCCTTTCTCACCTGCCCAGTCTGACCTTATCTAACCAGGGGACTCAGGACCAGAAAGTGGAGGGGGGTTGCACAAGGCTGCACACGGCTGACCTGCACAGGGCCTGAGTCCCTCCACGGCAGGGCTGTCCCTCCCCAGGGGACACAGGGAGACATGTGTCAGGGTTGTCCAATGGGGCCGTCCAGTGGGGACCCACGCAGGGGACACTCTGGAGGCTGCATCCAGAGCAGCCTCAGTGGGGACCAGACATTCTTCCTTGCGGTGGACGAGGTTCCTTCAGCCCAGGCCAGGACCTCCAGGCACCTGGCAAAGCTTCTCCATCAAATGCAACTATTCCCTGAGGGCCTGGATGTCAAAGGCCAGGGGAAAGCAGGAAGCACACAAGGCCAGATGCATGTTCTGGGGGAGCCTTGGGTTTTCTCACTGGGGGCCCTGGGAGGAGAAATGTGGAGGTCTTAGGATGCCCCAGAGAGCAAACGGACAGGGGGAGGGAGGGACAGGGGCAATGTCCCCCCACAACTCACACACTTCCCTCTGCCTCACCTGAATCTAATTTCCAAGCCGCCACATCACAGACATCAACGGCTTCCACAGAGGTGCCAGTGAGTAAAAATAGAATCCAGAAGGGCAGGCGCTGACTTATTAGCAGACAGAAAGGAAAATGCATCCAGACACGGTGGGGTGAGGGAGGGAAGGCTGCCTGTGTCCCCGAGTGAGATCCAGGATGACACGGAAGTCCTTTGCCACACAGATGACATGAGAATTGTCGTTTTCAGAGAAAAGACTCAAGACACAGTGGGGGCTGTTGTGCTGACCTTCCTCTCAGTGAACCCTCATAGCCCCAAGCCCGGGCACATATGCACTGTGTGACCTTAGCTGCACCTTTTTTTAATGCAGTGTCTTTCTCTACCCCGCGATTCCTTCCACATGGCTCTGAGTGTGGCCACGTCCGGCCTCTCTGCCAGGCAGCACAGGTGTGGGAACAGGTGCACTGAACTTCCTGTCGTGTCATTTTGGGGGCTCCCTATGCCCACACTTCACACGTCCAAGCCGTGGGTTGTGCCCAGCGCAGAAGAGACCTGTTCTCTCAGTTCAGTCTCGAATGACAGGAAAGTGCGTCTTCCTTGATCAGCTGCACAGCTGACCCGATTGTTTTTCTACTTTCCTCCTGAGGGACAGCAGCACGCCCCACACTCACTCACACCTGTGCCCTTGCTGAGTCCCACAGGCAGACGCCATGGTCTTGCCTGGTCTGTAGCTGACTGTGACGCCAGCTGCCTTGTCCGTGCAGCACTCACCAGTGCTCACCAGCCGGGGCATTCATTGCTCTTTGCATCATTAGCTCCTAAGGGTGACCCTGCCTTTTCTCAGGGGTAGTACACCAACTTCAAGTGGCTCTTTCAGCCTTGGCCCAGAGGTAGCAGGAGAGGCCCAGTAGATTTCCCCCAGAACACAAGCACCCCACTAATGACTCACCCCTCTACCAGTCCCAGCTCATGATCCATTGCAAGGACGCCCCCTCCTCCACCTTGCTGTGTGTGTGTGTGTTTGTGCGTGTGTGTGTGTGTGTGTCCCGTCTGCACTTCCATGCCTGCTGGCCACTCCTCCTGGCCCCTGCTGCTCACGCAAAGTAGCTGTGAAAGCAGAGTGTGGAAACGGGGCAGGTCACCGAGGTGCCACCGATGCCGATGCTAAAAGTAATGTGGCCTCTGACCAAGATGCAGCCTGGACCGAGAAGTCACCCCTCACCCTGTGCCCACCCTGAAGGGAGCCTGTCACCCTGTTAGGTCAGTGTGGTTGGCCCTGCTTCTCTCCTCTGCCCTCAGGGTCATGCCTCCAAGAAATGTGGCCAGGACTGTCTCTGAGCTGCATCTGATACTGCTCGTGGAGTGGGTCGAGGTGTTGTGCTCCCCTGGAGGGCATGCCTCGCCACTTCTCTGCTGATAAAACCGCAATGGCTCTGGTCCCGGAGATGCTTACTCTAGATAGATCCACCCTGATTTAATAAGGCCCTGAAAACAAACAAGGGAAACTTAATTTGCTCACAACGAATCATCATTTTTTGGGTTGCCACATAAAAAACGATGATCTGGAGAGGCAGAGCAGCCAAGGTGCCCTGGAAATGCTTGTCACTTAGTGTGGAGGTTGGGAAGCGGGTACAGTTGAGGGCCAGGAGGATGCAAGCGGGCAGCACCTGGGCCATGGGCACAGCACCCTCCCTCCCCCGAGGTTACAGATGGACAGAAACAAGAGGCGTGCTGGCTCCCGGGGTCGCCAGGCTATGGCCAGGACAGGTGGGAGCTGGAGGGCACAGTGAGGGTTACAGGGAACTCTGTGCCAGGTATCCCCAGGATGCCTGCCCCAAACAGGGCGCTGCAGGCCCAGTGGCCACACGAGTCACCAAGGAGGATTCACTGTCCCCAGGTACTAGCTGAGCTTGGGAGGAGGGTCTAGATGGCTTAGGAGGGAGGGGGACATGGCAGCATCCTGAGGTGGTAATATACCGCTTCAAATAAGAGCCTCAGGGGGTTGGCTGGGCCCCAAGAAGCCATGGGAAGTAGATGAGGGAGTTAGTGATGAGCTGGCACGGAGCTGCCTGCTGCACCCCAGAGAGGACAGCATAGGCCCCACCTTGCCAGATGCCCAAAGAGGGGGGGAAGCTGGTTTGGGGTCCCAGGGAACGGTGCACTACACCTGTGGGGGGAGGGAGGAGACCCCTCAGCTGGGGCGGTGGGAGAGACCAGCACCTCCTTAAGCAGTTACCAGTCCCACAACAGACTTGGGGTCCCTCCCCCTCTTCTGCTCCAAATACCTTGCAAAGCTTGTGCCTCTTAGAGCACATGACTTCCCAAGGCTGAAATGTCAGCAAAAGACCAACCATTTTTCATGGCTGATGAAAATGTCTAAGGAAGAAATTGGACATCATTTAGTACAGAGGCCCAGGCTCCCCTGGGGCTGTGCAGTGCCAACCCCCGCAAGTATCGGGAGGCCACTGCCCTCTGCATAGCCCAGCCAAGTGCCCTCTCACTCCATGACCAGGGTGATGGGGTGGGAGTCCAGCCAGGGGATACGACTGGACCCTGAACCACCAGCTCTGCACTCTACGGCCTTTGAACCTGCAAGCCACATACCCACCCTTTCTGCTGCAGACTGGCCAGGAGTGAGTGCCATGGGGCAGCAACCACGAATAGGGTATCTAGGCAGGTGAGGGTGTCCAGGTAGCAGGTGAGGGCACTGGGTTGGAGGGGAGGATGTCCAGAAGGAAACAAAGGTGTCCAGGAGGTGAGGGTGTCTAAGCAGGAGGGTATTCGGGCAGGAGGTGAGGGTATCCGGGCAGAAGGTGAGGGTGTCCAGGCCCAGGTTTGACCTGAGTCCCAAGGCTGTTCCCAGGTCATTCCAAGGGGAAGGGCACAGAGTTGACCGCAGGCAGTACTCAGCGCCAGGGCCCCTCAGATGACAGGAGATGATGCTGTTCTGGCCATGTCTCCATGGGATGCAGGGCCCCAGCGACACAGCAGAGATACCTGGTCGCCTACCCCACGTGTGGAGGGCAACATGGCTGTATCATGACAAAGTGACACCGGAGGCTCTGTTGGAGGTGGCACGATCCGGCCTGTCAGCAGGTGGGAGATGCAGGATCCTCATCGAACAGCACTTCGTCCACCCGCATGTCACCCTCATCCACGGGGACGTAAGGACACACCTGCTCGCGGAAGGCCAGGGCCAGAGTGTAGGGTGCGGCCGGCTGTTGGCCAAGGCAGCGCCGCAGGAAGGCATCGTAGTAGCCCTTGCCCCGCCCCAGCCGGTGGCCTTGTGTGTCGAAGCCGAGCCCCGGCATGAAGATGAGGTCCAGGCCTCCTGCGGGGTAGGGGGCAAGAGTCAGCGTCCAGCCCATGGTGCCCCATTCCCGGACTCCCAGAGATGCCCAGCAGGAAAACACAAAGGCAGGGCCAGGCTGCAAGCCCTTCGCCCACCCATGCCTGCCGCTGGGCACTCAGACCTTCCCAGATGTGGGAGACAAGGAGAAGCAGAGGGAGGAGTCAGGGGAAAGGCACAAGCCCCAGCAAGCAGGGACTCACACCCTACCCCTGGACCACCTTGTACGCCCACCTTGGCCCGAGAGCTGATTTCACCTGCAACGGACTGAGTCTCACATTCTGCACCATACGCATGGGGATCCTCCCTGCACCCCAGCCCCTCCCCACTGCTTCTCCTAGAGTTCTAGAGACAGGGTCTTGGAAACAGGACATGCATGGGTCCCCTTGTTACCATGGGGCAACACAAGGCACTGAGGCTGACCCAGTGACCAGCGGCCAGCACAGCCGCGCCCCCTGCTGTCCGAAATGGGGACTGCACAAGACACCCCAGTGCAACAGAAACTAATGTAATATAAGCTTGTAGTTTTATCTGACTTTGAGACTTAAGAAAATGCAAAGAACAAACCCCAAACCCCGAAGCAGCACTAAAGTAACTTCAGTGTCTTTTCTGACACTGGATCATTTCCCAATAGCTGCTGGCACAGTGGGTGAGACACAGCTGCGGGCTGACGCAATGTCATGTCAGGGGCCAATGTCAGGTCAGTGCCCAGCACGGCACTCACCTGTGGACAAGGCTTCCTCGCGCACCTCGTCATCGCCAGGCTGCTGGATGTTCCAGGAGGTTCTGGGCAGGGCGGCCAGCTCATCCGGGGAGGTCAGTCGCACCATGTCCATGTGGCTGCTCCCAGGCTGGTAACGCGGGATGAAGCAGGCTTTGCCCTGCTGGAAGATGTCGTGGACAATGGCCCCCGTGTCCACCTCATCCGGCATGCTCAGGAAGATGGAGACCCTCCTGGCCTTCTGGTACTGGGGGTGTGAGAGCACCTGTGAGAGGGAGGGGGATCCTGGAACCAGTGCTCCATCTCCATACCAGGGCCCTCCCCCATCTGTCAGTCCCACGGGCCTGTGTGTCCTCAGCTCTGCCCAATGCCCCTGCATGACACCCCTCCTCTCCCAGTGTGAATGCGCCCCTGCGTCATATGGGACTGCACCCGTGCCCCCTGATGAATGAACACCCCATCTCATTCACCCTCGTTCAAGATGAAACTCTGTGCCCACCCAGGCTCTGCTTCTGGACTTACACACCATGGTGTAGTCTGGGGGCATGTGGCACGGGGACACCAGCTATACCCGTGGCCCCCCTCCCTGAGGTCCTCTGCGGACACAGCTCAGAGAATCGCGGGGCTGCTGCACCCGCTCCACAGGAGCCCGGAGCACCTGGAGGAAGACACGGTGCAAATGGGGGAAGTCAGGTGCAGCTCCTCTGTCTCAGAGTGAAGACATGCACGGAACCACGTCTCCGTTACACTCCAAGTGCTGAGTCTGTGAGGGTGTCGATAGGGTGTCATGCCTTCCCCAGCTGCGGGGATTTGACGCTAGACCCAGGAGAATGCGGCGTCACAGAGCTGTCGTGGGTTTCCTTCACGATGCCAATTTCTGCCCTTCTCTCCTTCACGCTATGCCTGTGAGCTGGGAGCCCGAGCACTGTGTGCACTGGAGAGCTCGCCCAGTCCCGGGAGTCCGGCCTGCAGCGTGCGCGCCCCCACCGACGGGACGTGCGCGTCCACGCGCCTCGGGGCCGCGCCCGCGCACTGGTGGCCACCCCTGCTCACGCGGTCGCACCTTCTGCGTCAGGAGGTGAGACTGGCGTCGGCGCTCCTCGGCGCTCACGGCCCGTAGACGCTGCTTCAGCTCGGCCCGCAGGCGCTGCTTGGCCCCGCGCACCGCCGCCGCCATCTCCGCACGCCGCCGCAAACTGTTAGCGGACGGAGGAAGCCGCGGGGACGGGGCGTGCAGATGGGGGCGTGGTTTCAGGACGGGGCGTGGTTTCTAGTATAGGGGCGTGGTTTCTAGTATAGGGGCGTGGTTCTAGTATAGGGGCGTGGTTTCTAGTATAGGGGCGTGGCTTCTAGGACGGGGGCGTGGTCTCTTGCCGGAAGAGCGTGGTCTCACGGGTCCAGTGGAGCGTGCTTCTGGGGGCGGGCCTCTGGGCAGGGGGGCGGGGCGCGGGGCGTGGTCTGCCGGTACGGCCTGGGACGACGCGCCCACCCTAGGCGGGTTTCTTGGGGCCCAGGTGTGCTGCTAAAAGTGAGGGTCCCCGCGGCGGTGACCCTGACACCGCGCAGAATGACGGTGTTGCGAGTGAATTTGCGCGAATGCGCGGGTCTAGGTCAGTAACTTAACGGGCGAAGTCGAGCCCAGCACCCCCCAGACACAGAAAAGCGAGTGGGAGAGAGAAAAGGCACAAAGCTCCCTACCTCAGCCGCTGGCGATCATGTCCAAGTGTACCTGTGCCTAACGCCTGGAGCTGGGCTGGCGCTTCTGCGAAGCCAGAATGAGTAAAGCAGTCGCAGGTTAGGGAACAGGCAAGGACCCCGAGCCCCCAGAGACAGCGGGACATTACTAAATTCTTCTACATACTTTATTTATTTATTTATTTTTGCGTTTTGGGTCACACTCGGCGATGCACAGGGGTTACTCCTGGCTCTGCACTCAGGAGTTACTCCTGGTGGTGCGCAGGGGACCATATGGGATTGTTGGGAATCAAACCCGGGTTGGCCGCGTGCAAGGCAAATGCCCTACCCGCTGTGCTATCTCTCCAGCCCCTACCTACATACTTTTAATTCGCATAGCGTTTTTAAAATATTGCTGAAGAGATAGTCCAGCAGGTCGGGCGCCTGCTTTGCATGCCGGTGACCGCCCGTCCTCCCATAGGACCCCCCTGCTCGCCAGGAGTAATTCCTGAGTGTAGAGCCAGAAATAACCCCTGAGAGCCCCCGGGTGTCGCCCAAAAAACAAAAGAAAACAACTTAAAAATTTTTTTGCTAAAGAGATAGTATAGCAGGTGATCCATGTTCAGTTTTCTGGCATCTCATATGGTCCCCACACCCTTCCCAAGTAACTGCTGAACACCTGGGTGTGGCATAAAAAACAGCCCTGGGGAGAGAGAGCTCAGAGATCAGGGGCACATGCAAAGCACATGCCAGGACGTGAGTTTGAAGCCAGACCATCTTGTGGCCCCCAGCCCAACCTAGGGCCAAAGCAACCCCATATCTTGTTTTTTTTGTTTGTTTGTTTTTTGTTTTTTCATTTTTGGGTCACACACGGTGATGCTCAGTGGTTACTTCTGATTCTGCACTCAGAAATTACTCCTGGTGGTGTTCGGGGGACCACATAGTGTGTAAGCTCTGTCTCTCCTGCCGCTTGCATTTGGTCTCGGGCCGCTTCCCTCACCCCAGGGAGGCTGATGGTGATGGATAGGCAAAGGAAGGAATGAGGGCCAGACTTTCTCTCTGTCTCTGCTTCTCTCTCTCTCTCTCTCTCTCTCTCTCTCTCTCTCTCTCCGACTTCATTCTCCTCCTTGCTTCCCCCTCATTTTCCTTCCATCCTCTGGATCTCACTCTGTTCCCCTCCGCTCTTACAGTCTTAGTTTATATAGCAATCCAAGGGCAGGATCCCAACTAGGGTGTGTTGCTTTCTTCTTTCCTCAGCTAGCAATCCACTTAAATCACTTGATCACTTGACTTCCCAGTTTCTCATCAATTTGCTCAACAGGCACCAGTAACGTCTCCATTCGTCCCTGTCGCGTACTAGTGTAGCCCAATGGCGTCTGTTTGTTCTAGGAACACGAAGACCCTCAAACTGATCACTAAATAGTAAATAGTTGTAGTAAATCTACTTCTTAAATCTACTTAAATAGTTGTAGTAAATCTTCTTCTAATATTTCTAGCAATGTCATTCTGTATGAGCACAGTAAGAGACGTAAAGTTAAGGTTTGGTTCTTCCTGAGGACATCTCACTGTATATTCCAGACTGCAGTCCTCAGGCCAGGTTAGTCTTTCTAACCTCAGCAGGGTCCTGATCTCATCATTACTTTTGGGTCATAACAACATTTGTCCATGTTAATGCCCTCAACTTATAGTTGAGTATTGTGATGCTTTGGTCTGGCCCATTTTGATGCCAGGGTAGCTCACAGCTTGCCCTGAGTCCATTCAGTCCCTCTTTGGGACCATGCTTTTGGGGTGCTAGGAACTAAGGGCAACTGAGTCAGGAAAGCAGATGCCCAGGAGTAAATACTATTCGGAGTCAATCAACTCTCAAGTTACAAAAGCATAATATTAACTGTCTTCCTGTGTCCATACAGAAAGGACATTGCTTTAAGACATAATTTATAATACAAGTTCAGTGTTCTTAGAAGGATCTGATCTTACAAGCTAACAGAATCTGATTAGGAAAAAAAGGTGATTAATTGGTTGGGGAGGATTGCACAGAGAAGAGTTTACAGATTAGCACAGAGGAATGGGAGTGAGTTGGGAGCACTGTGATGGGTGTAACCCAATAAACCTAAGCTGCCTGTGGCAAGAGCGAAAGGCCAAAGCAATGTCTTCCTACAGTGTGGGATGCGGGGGATGGAACTCGGGTCAGCCATGTGCAAGGCAAATGCCCTACCCGCTGTGCTATTGCTCCGGCCACCATAACCAACCCCATATCTTGGTACCCTAGCACTGAGCTGCCTAAATGGTTGCCAGGTATTATGAGTGGTGGTCTTGGGTCCCCTTGAGAACTGCTTGGAAAACCCCCTCCATGCCAAAAATACTCCAAATAGGAAAGAAGTGAGACTCTTGACAGACCTTTTTCTAAGTAAATAGAAGTCTCCCTCCTATGGATTCTGTCACAGGACAGGGTGATAGATATCCATCTCAACAATATGTGCTTTTGTTCATCTTGTTATTAGGTGTGTATGGTAAGATACGACTGAGGTTTATCAACGGTGGTGATAAGAGATCTGCAATGAAAGGCAAGACCCCTCTGTGCCCTTAGCACCACTGGCAGGTATGTGCATTCTGGGATATGTGCATTTGGGTTTTTTTTCCATTAATTGGGGGTTCATGTGTTCTGGGTATGTGTTTTTTGGGGCACTGCTATCTCCTTTGACTTATGTTCCCTAGCTGACCCTCTGCTAGCTGTTCCAGGCCTGCCAAGTACCTGCTTCAGGGAACCGGTTCAGACCCTTCCTTCCCATTTTTAAGTCAGGCTCACGATGGTGCATGAGTACCTGGAGGAGGATTGGGGAACTCTGTATCTGTGTCAGCCATTGTTGATTAGTAACGACTGTGCATAACCTTCTTTTTTTTTTTTTTTTTTTTTTGCTTTTTGAGTCTCATCCGGCAGTGCACAGGTGTTACTCCTGGCTCTGAACTCAGAAATTACTCCTGGTGGTGCTCAGGGGACCATATGGGATGCTGGGAATTGAACCTGATCATCCCCGTGCAAGTCAGACACCCTACCCGCTGTGCTATCACTCCAGCCTGTGCATAACTTTCTGAGTCTATGAACCTGCCTTACTTGGAGGGTGGGGGAAATCACATGCCCTCTGGCATCTGGGGGTGTATGTGTGAGAAACCCTCCCCCCAGTGGAGCACACAGCCTCCAGGTAGAGGAGGGTGGACCCTGGAGGGGGATGGAAGGAGGGTGGGCCCTGGAGGGGAGAGTGGGACCTGGAGGGGGGTGGGAGGGTGGTGGATTCTGGAGCGGTGTGGGGGGGAGGGTGGGCTCTGGAGGGGGTTGAGGGGAGGGTGGGCCCTGGAGGGGTTGGCTTCTCCTGCCCTACAATAGTGTGGGGGACAGAAAGGGACTCTGGGGGCCAGAGTGATAGTACAGCAGATAGGGCATTTGCCTTGCCTTGCATATGGCCAACCTGGATTTGATCCCCGGCATCCTTTATGGTCCCCTGAGCACTGCCAGGAGTAATTCCTGAGTGTAGAGCCAGGAGTAACCCCTGAGCACTGCCAGCTGTGACCCAAAGAGCCACAAAAAAAACAAGTGGAGGGGATGCCCCAGCCCGCTATGCTCTTCTATCAGCAGCAGGCTACAGAGAGAGAGCCTTATTCTCAGCAGACTGTGCTGGGGCCTGGCATGGCAGTGACATCCTGAGGATCTGGGGACAGGGGCGGGAGGAGTCTCGGGGTCCTCAGCAGAGCCATGCAGGAGTCAGCCAAGAACATCCAGCCGTGCCATCATCCAGTGTGGGTGAGAACTTCTTCACAAATCCTTCTCCCTACTCTGAAAGGTGCCTTATGGGACAGTGTCTTTATGTGTCCAGCATTGAAGCCCTGTGCTCTAAGGGTGGCTCTGAAGCTGCTGTGAAGCTAGTGGATATCTGCCACTGTTGATGGAAGTGCCTGTGACACTGGGGTTCGGGGATGGAGAGTGTCCCAGAAATCACAAACCAGCCAAGCGAGCCCAGTTAGTGGGTGATTCACTGCTGTCAACAGCAGGCCCCATGCAAGGCTGTGTGGGCCAGAAGCAAGATTGGCACTCACTTCCTCTGCTTTCTGGGACCTCCCTCTGCTCTGCCCACTGTGGACCCCAGCCCCTCCCATCACCAGGATGCATCCCAGAGCCACCTCCAGACCCTCCTATCATTGAAGGCCCTTCCACCTATATTGCCACCCACCCATACACTGTCCTACACCATGCCCCCCACATCCATCCATCTACCCACCCACCCACTATCTTTCCACCATTCCCCCCACAGCCAGCCAGCCAGCCAGTCACCCATTCATCTGTCCAACCACCTGTTCAATTTGTGTTTATGGGGGCTGGAGCTGTAGCACAGTGGGTAGGCTGTTTGCATGCAGCGATCCAGGTTCGATCCCTGGCACCCCATATGTGCCCCCCCTCCTCGCCCCAAGCGTTGCCAGTAGTAATTTCTGATTGCAGAGCAGGAATAACCTCTGAACATCGTT